TGGAAAACTCTTTGAGCATTACAGGAGAAACAGGATAATCTTCCATAGCCTCCATAAGACCTGAGATATGAGAAATGTCAGTAATTGGATAACGGGGTAACATCAGACACGTCAGCGATTCGTATTACATCCAAATTAAGCTGAATTGCTATTTGCAGTTAGGTTCAAAAGAAACTAATAAGCAAATTATAATATCAACTTCTTAAAGACAAAAATCTTAACCACATAGCAAGAAAAAGGGAAAACAGATTCACAAAAAGCTCATTATCTTTTCATCCAGACTAAGAAATCACAAAAACCAAGCACCCAAATTGCAGAAAATTAATTATATTGGAACTTGCCTTTTGGAGACTATCTGCTTCAGGTGGTACTCATTTAGTTTTGTCAGACCAGACCCAGTGTTAAGATTGCAGAATGTGGTTGCCATCTGTTATCTACAATCAAGGGAAAGATAATTGTAATTCTTATACAAACATATGTATATGACTAAATCATCAAAATAACCCAAAGCAGCCTACAAATACATCAAACTGACTAGTGCAAGCTTAGACTTTGGTGTTCTGTATTCCAAGAAGAGAATTTGAAGCCAACCCACAACCCCATTCAAGCCTTTTCACTTAAAACTAGTTAAAAAAAAAGCATAGATTAGAGCTGGAACACTAAAAAAATGTAAGCAAACGTTCTCCTATAAAATAGTTTAAAACATAGAAAAATCTCAACAGAAAGAAAAAAGATCAAATACAAAGGAAGACAGCTCTTCTGCTAGAACAAGGAAAAAGTAGGAGCGAAGACCTTGGTTGTAGCTGGGGGGTCAAGGCTGTAGAAGCAGCAACTGCAGCATCATATTTGGGTTCTTATTTTTGATTCAGTAGCTTCCTTCATTTACCTGAGAGTTCACTTCTGAGTCTTTTAGACTCACCATCGCTGAGTCGCCAACAAAATCTTAGCATGGGATAAGATAACTGTAGTATCTGTCTGTCTGGTTTGTCCAAATGCCACATCAGATAATTATAGCTGGATTTTACGTTTCTTTTAAAGGGAAAATCTTTATTGAAAAAGAAAAAAACCAATTTTGCCCTAAAAACAAAACTTAAGAAAAAAAGAAAAATCTAAAATTGGAGAAATTTTTGTAGGTTGTGTACCCACCAATAGAAATAAAACACGTGTAATAATTTATTTTTAGCCTCCTTTAACTATTTGTTTCGTCAGCCCTTCCGTGAGCCTTTAAACTTTGTCTCTCCGTTAGGCTTTTAACTTTCTCCTCCATTAGGGTTTTGCTGTCTTCCCATTTTTTATTTCACAGTTCTCTCTTTTATTTCACAGTACTCTGAAATGGTGGGTTTTTTATATGGGTTTTGAGGAAGTTGAGGAGGTGGGTGTGGTTAGAAGTTGGGGAGAGAGTCTGGGTATAAGATCTCCCGTGCCTTACGCATTGAGAAAATTTGTGAAGAATTCCAAACTAGAGTCTGGGATGAACTTTGCACATGGAGGGGCAGGTGTTTTTGATACGTTGTTTGGTGGACCAAACATGACCACCCAAATCGACTTTTCCCAACGGCTGCTTGAACAAAAACTCTATAGTACCAGGGTAAGGAGTTGATGGGTTTGGGATTGGAGAGAGAACTGGGTTTCGGATTCAAAGGAGAATGGGTCTGCACTTGTCGATTTGAGCAGAGCTGCAGCCATTGAAGCTCTGCAGGAGAATGGGCTAAACAGACTTATTTATTTACTTGATTCTCGATTGCAGCAAAAGGCTAACAGAGTTAAAAAGCTAACGGAGTTAAAAGTTACTGCTAAAGGAGGCTAAAAATAAATTATTACACGTGTCTTATTTCTATTGGTGGGTACACCAGCCAGCTGGTGTACCAGGTACCTACAAAAATTTCTCCTAAAATTGATACATTGGCAAGGCGTGGGTTGAGCCAATTGTCTATGGTAGTGAGTTCGTTCTCTTCCACTCAGTTCTAGTCTCGTAAATAATTTAAACTAACGCTTGTATAAACTTTTTATAAAATAAAATAAAATAGAAACACCCTTATATGCTGGGCATCAACACCGCTCCGTCCTCTCCGTGAGTGATGCAATCCTCTCGTTATGATGAAGGACAAGATATTTGTCAATTTAAGTGACAAAATGAAATTAAAAAGGGATCAAAGTTAGCAATATATCACAAAAGAAGAAAATATTAGAGGTGGGCATTGGAACCACAAAATAAAACTAAATCGAGCTGGAAAAAACCGTGTCAAAATCGGCACAAAAATGGGTCCAATTTCGATTTTCCACCTCCAGAAACTAGACCGATATATTTATATATATATTTTTATGTATTATATTTGTATATTTAATACATGTGGCAGGATTATAATTTGTTATGATGGAGGATTGTAGTTCTGAAGATGGATTGTAATTATTTATGTTATACTGTGTTGGATTGTAATTTGGTTGCATTTTTTTATTTATTTTTGTTGTGTTAAAAATTTCGCTGGATAATGACTTTGGGCTTGGGCCTATTAGAGAATGAAGGTTGAAAAGTTGTGTTAGGAAAAATTAATTTTAATGGGCTCAAGATAAGGCTGAAAAATAGGAGAAAGTGAAATGAAGTGGGCTCCAGTATGTTTTACTGAATAAAATTTTGGGCTAAGGCCCAAACTAGAAAATCGCAAGAATCAAATCAGAACCGGGCAGGTCCGGATTGGTTCAGTTCTCCCAGTGATTTTTGACCTAAATTGGACCGATGCTCTTTTTTGGTTCAGGTTTTGATTCTAATGAAGAACCAGATCGTGCCCAGTCATTTCGAAATATTATGCTTTTTTTTTTGTCAAATGAAAATATTATGTTTAAGCGTCAAGTCTTGTGCTAGAAAAAAGAAAAAGCTGATCATTGGGATTTTCATGTTATATCAGCAGCTTTCAAGTAAATTGTTGGCAATATTTATATTTATTTTATTTTATTATGAAATAAATAGGTTTGTAGGATATTATTTTCCTGATAAAATATATTTGTTCTTATAAAGTGTAGGATTTTATTGTTTACTTATCAGTTAAGTTTTTAGGAACTTTAGAAGATATGGGCTTAGTCAAGTTGGCTAGAGTGGATGTACTTCCTGTTTGTGCCTGATAAATCACGGCCATAAGCTGGCCGAAGGAGCCCCTTCTCTCGGCCCTGACACTTGTTCGTAAAAACTGAAACGCAGTGTTTCGCCAGGGTACTTCGCCTTCCTAAAGATAAAAAAAGAAATGCCAGGGCATGATCATCTCGGCCTCAAGCGCAGGCCTAGGCCGAGGCCGAACAAAATCTCGGTCAAGGCATTAAAGGCAAATCGTCACGTGACAGCAGGGTCCCAGGCTTCATTTAATGAAGTAGTGCCTATTTAATGCAGCAAACCTATTGGCCACAAAGAAGCATTTAATGCATGAGGGAAGGTGGGAAGTGACTGAAGTCAGGATTTGGTGATGAGAATCATAGTGATTAGACGTGGACATTCTCACAAAAATTCTAACAGCCTGAGATATTGGTTCAACAGCTATCCAGGCCATAAATGCGTCTCCACGGCCAGAAGCTCAGAACCCACGATCAAGAGCGGCGGTCGAGATTCACCGGGATTTCTGGGGTCACACCACCATACTTCACGATCCTAAATGTCGATTGGACACCCAGTTGCGCTAATCAGACTCCACTATGCGTAAATTCAGCCTCGATTACTCATCCAATGACTCTTCCTATAAATACAAGACTCGAGCTACATTCAAAGGGTTCAACACCAAAACAAAGCCTCCCACGGAGCAACTTATTTTTTCCTGTAATGCACTTTCAATATCTTTACTTGCTTTCCTAGGAGTAGTGTTAGATTGTAAGGAAAATCTATTCATCAATATATCATACGACCCTTGATTTTCAAGGCGCCGGAGTACCATCCTTGTTGTTCGTTCACTCACCCCA